CGCATTGCTTGGAATTCTTCGCGTGACCACTTGGTGAAGCCCCAGTTACGGGAGACGGCGATCTAAGAGACAGTCAAATAAACTCAGTAAGATGAACGAAATAAACAAACGGTCCTCAAAACTGGTGTGGCAGCAAAACAGCACTCAGTGGGAGGAAAACGGGGTAACTATGCGAAAACAGATTGAAACCTCGACACCCTACTTGTGCGGATCTGTGATAAGGCTTCCCAGCCAACCTACAATACTCCATGTCTTGTGGTGTCTTCGAATAACGTGGTTGTATGTAGAAATTCTTATCGTGAAACAAGACATGTTGGCGGATGGCGGGTGTGGACAATGCAGACGAAATAATCGGGCTGCCAAACTTCTGTGAAAAGATAACATTCTGGTCAGGCAGCATATGTAAGTTGAATAAGTTGTTTTCAGGCCAAACCTTCTTGTTGGCTAACTGCGAAACAAGGAGTCTTGGATTGTCTCATCAACCGTGGTGAAGACCGCCAAGAAGAGGCTGCGTCTGCGTCTAACAAGTTGAATTCCTGACGGAAGCCAAATCACAAGAAAATTGAGAGGAACCCGCATGTTAGCAGTCACTCTCACCGGATTATCTGGTTAAAAAACTTCTTGAACTTTGACCTCGGGGATTGTAGTCTGTGGGTTTCATGTGGGTGCCCATTTAGTGATAGCTTTGCGAAACAGCTAAAAACGACGTGGAGCTTTCAAGGTCCTGTAAAGGCCCCAAGAAACTGACCACATTGTGCTGATCTGAAAGAAGAGGGGCTACGGCATCGAGGAAAAGGAAAACGTGCATCGCCCCGTGCTGCTTCACTAGTTAAGTTGTGTTCAGTGCAGTTAGGCCACTTCACATGCGGCCGCGAAGCGGCATCTACGCCTAAAAGCATGCACATGGGGGCACATAGAGAGGATGCACGCGCAGCACTGTGGTCGTTCGTTTAGAATTGATTGAAACAGACAACAACGGTATGCAACACGAAAACAGGCAGACATGAGCGCTTGTATGCGGACATAAGAGCCGCACAGCAAGAACGGACTTAAACTAAAAACGGGTCTCAACCCATTGAGCATGGGGAAACTTGGATTATTAGTTACCTTTTGACGGCCAGGGAACTTCATTTTCGCTCGGCGGAGGGCTTCGATGAACTGATTCTTGTGAACATCCTTACCGCGCACGGACATGATAACCTGGCCGATATCTACACGGGCAACGGTTCCTTGAGGTTTGCCATACGCCCCACGCATACCGGTCTGCAGCCTTCAGAAACTAACACTGTATGACTAATCCTTACCTGTCGGCGCCGGCGCAGGACAACATTTTGTTGATCCGGATGACGTGGAAGGGATGGACGCGCATGCGTAGGTGGAAAGCGTCCTTGCCACAGTATTTCACAAGATATTTGTTCGCGCAGATACGAGCAGCCTCGAGCGCCTCGCTTGAGAGTTGCTCGTATTCGTCCGACAGCATGTGGACGCAAAGCGGGAATTCATCCACGCTAACCTTCTTCTTGCCCAGATCATAGATTCGGATCTTTGGATCCGGAACACCCCGACAGAAACGTGACTTGGGGTATGGTTTATTTTTACAATAACGGTAACTGAGGGGAAAATAAGTCTACAAGGAAACGAACATACCAACGAGCAGGACGGCGACCCATGGTCACGCTAGGACAGACAGAAAGTGCGTCGATTAAAACAATGAGCGTACAGTAATCAGGTTATCAAATCATGGAAGGACACTCAAAGTTATTTGCATCAAAACTTTTTGTGCATTTGTGAAGAACTATGTTAGAAAGAATGTGTAGGATGCATTTTGGGGAAGTTAGGGTTCATCGGCCAAAAACGGAACAAATCTTTACAAAATACTTCTGAATGAGGACATCTTAACGATTTGTAAATTATTGTGGCCACTGTCCTGGGCTATTTTAGTTCCTTTCCGATATGTCATCTGCTTTGGTGTTCCAATCTTTTAACTGGATCCGACATCATATGGACTTGCGTTCATGTGAGTAAAAGAAGACTGAGTAGGCCGTTACGTCTTTACTTGTTGAATCTTACCAGTATTTTGCAATGACTTCTTCCACGAAGGAGTTTACCAAATCGCACACCTGTATCCTCTTTAAATTAATTGGTTTCACTCCTTTTTTGCTAAACAGTCGTACTGTAATCAGCTGAACTGTGGTCAGTGGTAAAACTCTCTTATCCGACCCCCAATAAGGACACAAGATATTGGCACGAACGACCAGTCTTCGGGACCACCAAAACAAATGGAAAATAAATCATACCAAACTTGAAATGCGAACCAATTTCTTCTCCCACCGGCTGGTTGGAGGATGGAACGAAATGTCGAACTCCGTTGTCTTGGAGGAAAACGTCGAGACCTTCAGGAAAGACTTGACAAATTTATGCTTGACTGTCGAATAGTTACTTAATATCAATGATTGACATAACTTTTATGTATATATGTTCAGTCTTTTCATTTGTATATCTGTAAACATGGTTTCCCAAGGCTCTGAATACTGTCCTTATAGATACTGAAAGTCGCCAAAGTCCAGACTGCCGACCCCAAGAGTCAGCGATATGCTCTTCTCAGAAGGCATTGTCCGAAGAGAATTGGAGGCATTGAACGAATTGAAGTCACCAGGACCAGACGAGATTCCACTCAAGCTTCTCAAGGAACTTGCCAGTGAGCTCTCTGTGCCTTTGTTGATGCTCTTTCAAACGTCATTTGGCACTGGAACACTTCCTATCGATTGGAAGCTGGCGCATATTACTCCGCTACACAAAGGAGGTAACAGGGCAGCGACGACAAATTACAGGCCCATAAGCTTGACATGCATTCTCTGCAAAGTGATGGAAAGGATCATAAAGAGTGAACTGATGCAATTCCTGGAAGTTCACGGCCTACTGTCAAAATGCCAACATGGGTTCCGAAAAGGAAGATCCTGCACGACAAACTTGCTGCAATCTCTCCAGAGCTGGACCCAAGTTCCCGACGACAGGCACGAGGTCGACATAGCCTTCATCGACTTCCAGACGGTGTTCGACACTGTGCCACACCAGAGGCTCTTACATAAACTTAAAAAATAGGGATCAGTGGCAACTTCCTTAAATGGATTGAAAACTTCCTTGTGGGTCGACACCAGGTTTTCTGCATCGGTCGGGGAAAATCAGACCCTGCTATGGTCGAGAGTGGTGTCCCCCAGGGTTCAGTACTGGGACCCATTTTGTTCCTTATCTACGTGGACGATGCTGCAAGAGCTTTAGACTGCGAAGTAGCAATGTTTGTTGACGACATGAAGGTATGGAGTGTAATTCGGGGTCCTGCCGACGAAGACAGACTGCAGATGAACCTGAATCGGTTGGAGGAGTGGTCCAACCGTTGGCTCCTGCGGTTCAACGTTGCCAAATGTAGCATATTTCGCCTAGGCCACACAGCCAGATACGACAGCACAAGAAACTAGTTTCTGGGCGGTGCAGCCTTCAAAGAGGTCGAAGCCCAAAAAGACCTCGGTGTACTGACGACCAGTTCCCTAAAGCCATCCGCCCACTGTTCGAGAGTGGCAAAAACCGCAATGTCCGTACTGTACTCCATCAAGCGTGCGTTCATGGACTTTGACGAAGATGCTTTCTCAAAGACATTCGGAACATTCGTCCGGCCGCATTTAGAGTACGGCATACAAGCTTGGAGGCCGTGGGCTATTGTAGATCAAAACTGCCTCGAAAGGGTCCAGAGGAGGGCCACGAAGATGGTTAGGGGTCAAAGCTCCTTTCCTTATGCAACTCGCCTAGTAAATCTGAACCTCTTTCCTTTGAGTTACAGGCAACTTCGCGGGGATCTCTTGCAAGCCTTCCGCATTGTTAAGGGGTTGGATTGCAGTCTGGCCTTCGAGGACTTCTTTCAATTTGCTACCACGACCAACCTCCGAGGTCACCCGTTAAAACTGCGTACTCAGCATGCAAGGTTGGATGTATGGAAGTTCTTCTTCTCCGTTCGAGTGGTCAAACCCTGGAATGCCCTTCCCGCAGATGTTGTGATGTCACCATCCATACAAAGTTTTAAAAAGAATCTTGACATATTTATGTTACAAAATGACCAAGAACGATGAGAAGTAGAGCTCACCCCCTGTAACCCGTTCTCATTTTGTCCTACAATTATGGGCGTGTTTGACTATTTCAGCCCAGAACATTTATCTGTATACCACACATTTTTTACGTTGCAAATACGGTACTCAAAGCCTTACGCCTATTTCCCTCAATAAACTGAACTGAACTGAACCATCGCGGAGTGTTTCTTCAGTCGGACTATCATGCAATCGATTGGATAAAAATGAGGACGTTAGTAACAGAATTGAGAAAACGTCAGAGCGAGGGCACATTAAATCTGAATGCAGTAAACGACCAAATTGCAAAACTAGAGTGTCCTTTTTGTGGAATCATCCGGCGAAATTGGCAATAAAGGCATAGGTGTTCAGTTTCACCAAAAGTCAGTAGATTCAAAATCGATTAGTGGACTTGGTACGCCATGTGAAATATCCAGTAGTAACTATCAGTTGAAAGCACTAGCGAGCAATTTTCGGAGATCCCAACAACCAAATGAAATAAAATGATGCACACAAATGTTCAGAATTTATCCAACAAATTGGGCGAAATAAAACTGACCGTGGTCCATTTCCAACACGACTTGCTAGCTCTAATAGAAAAGTTGGTAAATGAGCAGATAAAAGTTGCGGAGTCGACGCTCGATGGATTACAGCTTCTCAAAATGGGCCAAAATGCACGAAGGAGGGGGTTGAGAGGGGGGGGAATTGCGATATTTATAGAGATGACACTTTGGGATTCTGTCCTTGCAAGTCAAAATACATTTTTATATGAATTTTAGAAGAGGCAGACAGAATCTGCCCAATATTCAATACATAGTTACTGAATAATAAGTCCGTCAAGAAAAATGATGAGCGAGCAGCGAAAAAACTCCATTATAGAATAAACAAAATGATTGGATAAAATTTAAAGGAAAAAAAGCTGCCACTACTGAAAAGATAAAAATGCGGGCAGGACCTACCTGCATGTGGCAGTGTATAACGGATTATAAATAGACATCGTTAGGGCAGAAAATGATGTCATCCGTGAGGGGGTAAGTGTACGGGTCAGACAGGACCGACCTGCATGCGGCATTGTATAAGGGATTCAAAACGGACATCGTCAGAGCAGAATTTGTTCGCCGGGTGAGACTAATCGCGTCGAAGTGGCTAGACGAGAGGAACCCAGACGCGACTGGTCACAGTCCGCTTCGAGCCCAGCCGAGGAGGGGCAGGGGAGATACGACCAAACTACTAGGAGACGGCGAAT